CCCCAAAACCCCAAAACCCCAAAACCCCAAAACCCCAGCAAAACTAAAATATATTGAAATTACGTATGCGCCTGAAATTAAGAAGGAAGAGAGGTATTAAGAACTGATATGTCAACCTACCCAATAACTCTCGATTCAAGATAGAGATGAACAAGAGCATGAGGAATGATGACACCATCAGTCTTCCCCTCAAGGTCACCTTTGATGAAAAAGTCTTTTTCTTCGGATATGCTGGTGGGGTTAGTGAAGAAGATAATACAATCGAGGTATCTGAAGGGTTAGCTGATTTCCTTAATCTCCCTGAAGGGATCTCCATTGAAGTCAGCATTCAATATACTTTCAGACACTTAAAAATGGTCGAATTCGAGCCTATCACAGCAGATGATTACGAAATTGTCAAACATTTTGCAGAAGAAATCGAATTCAATCTCCTCAATCAAATCGGAGTGTTCTACAATGGATTAATATTCCCTTGCTATGTTGGTCCTGACCTCCAGTACCAAATCAGATTCAAAGTTAATATCAAAGAAAAGCTCATTGAAAGAGCAGAATGCTTCATGCTGAGTTTAGATGCTGAGATCACTATCCCTCCTAAAGTCAGACAATTAGAGGAAATCAAAAAAGAAGAAGAGATCAAAAGAGATGTAGAAAAAGAGAGCAAAAGAAAGGTAATTATCCTTGTCATCTTTAGGTCTTTGAGAGCTCAATAGAAGAAACTAAGGAGTATGAAATCAAGCACACTGTCTCATTTGATGATTCTGAGCTAAAGGAAGAGTATAAAGGAGTCGTTGTCCGAAGTTATGATACTAAAGATGAAAACTGATTCTATCATATTTTCACATCGATCAAGTCCTTGAAGGATCCAGTCAAAGTAACTTTCAAGTGCAAGACAAGAGAGAGGTTTAAGAATTTCCTGATAAATAAGCAACAGAATAATGGTGACGTCAAAACTACAGAGTCAACCAAAAGTTTAGTACTTTTGCCAAAATATGATCCCAATCTCCATTTTGATGAGTTTAGTCTTCCTGCTAACATGCTTCCTCTATTCTCAGAGCATTCTAAGGTCTCATACTTCAAGGCTTATGAATGACAGATTCAGACTGAGTTTGGAGAGGAGGAATCTAAGGATCAAAAGCCCAAGAACATAGCGTATAGCATTGAATGAAATTTCTACCAATCAGCATTAGATTTACTAGTTTCTTCGGAAGGAGAAAGTTTGAATAATACAAAAATGATAGTCAAAGAACTATTTTTGCACAAGATATTCGACTCATATTATGATAATGACTCCACTATAATTCTCAATTCAGGAATGAAGATCGCGTACAGTCGAAAATCTGTCAAAGAAGATCTTGAGAAATTATTACACAGGTGGAAAGAGAGTGACCAGACTGTGTATCAAACAGACCAACTCATCACTGTGTGTCAGAACTTCTTGGCAATACTAGACTCTACTAGAGAAGGAATTAAAGAGGAAAGCATTGACCTTTCTTCATCTCAAAAGCAAACAAGTTCAGCTCCAAATGATGAGAATTCGCTCTGTCTGATGATCAAGGTAGTTATGCATGATCCCAAGGACAGAAACAAGGTTCATAAATACAAGATTATCAAGAGTATAGACCAAGTGCAATTAGGGGATAAATGCATAGTTTCTTTTGACAAACTGAGAGAAATCCCCTTGCAAAAGAATATATCTATTGAAACTGATATCTTCAAGGCAATTTATCAAGAAGACGTAATACAAAGAGTTATTGATTTCTATAAGCAGACAGATTCCCTCAAGTATGCTTCCTTATAAAATATTAGAGCAAAATCAGAAGTATCAAGTGATCCAAAATGGTCTATAAATAACAACTACCAGATGCTGTATGGGCAAAAAGGAACCGGAAAATCTTTCTTCGCACTCCAAATTCTCCCAAAGATCTTCTATAACTGAGATTTTGAGTATATTGATCTTAATAGGATGATGCTGATAAGTAATGGCTTCAATGACATGGATGCAAGCATTAAATATCTCAGCACAATCTTTTTGACAAATCAGGACATGAATGTCAGAAAGATCTTTATCCTTGATCATATTGATTGAGTGCTCCCCCAAGAAGACGCTAATGAAATAGTTTCAGCAGTGAAGAAGATCAAACAAAATCAGCTTCTAATGTTTTTCCTAGATTTAATAGACAGCAAGAAATACTGATTATTCTTTATTGGACGCCACTACCAAAATATCCACAGTGAATTGGCCTCTATCTCTCGGATTGATAACTTTGTACAGATAGCTCCTCCAGATTTTAAGAAACGAAAATTGGCTTTCAAAGAAATCATTAAGAAGAGCTATAACCCTCGTGGAGCTTTTAGTTTGAGCTCAATGTCTAAGTTTTCCCAAGAAGCTAATTCTAAAATAATCGATAAACTAGGTAAATCTTGAGGCTCATTTCTAGACAAGATCAGCACATCATTAGCATCAAGTACAGAACATTTTAAGTTTCCGAATTTGATCCAGATTGGGAAGACTTTTCTGCATAAAAGAGGTTAGAGGTAGATAAAAACTTGTTCAATTTTATTAAAATAATTGGGGTTTTGGGGTTTTGGGGTTTTGGGGTTTTGGGGTTTTGGGG